TATCTGGTACAACCCACCTTTTAGTAACAAAAAACATCGGCAGAACATTTGTTAGTCTGTTATCGAAGCATTGTCCAAAACATCACAAATACCATAGTTTATTCAACAAGAGCAACGTAAAAGTCAGCTACAGTTGTATGGAGAACATGGGATCGATCATTAACAAACACAACAAGAAAGTAGTGTCTAACAACAACAACCACGACAACAACGAGAGTCTTTGTAACTGCAGATCTAGAGAACAGGGCTCGCTCAACAACAATTACCTGTCTTCCAGCTTTGTCTACAACGTACAAATCACCACTACAGATAACAAAGCGACTCCTAAGAACTACATCGGACTGACTGAAGGAACTTTTAAACAAAGATTTGATTAACACAAGTTCACATTCTGACACAGAAAATACACTAACAGCACTGAACTATCCAAATACATCTGGCAACTGAAGGTCAACTCTGTAAACTTCAACATAAAAGGGTCCATTATTGCAGGAGCTAGGCCCTACAACAACACGACGAAAAGATGCGACCTTTGCCTGACCGAAAAACTCATGATTATTAAGTCCAACAGCAACAACTTACTGAATAAAAGATCCGAACTTATATCCAAATGCCGCCACGAAAACAAGTTTTATCTAAAGAACATCTGACGCTTTCCCGCTACGATAAACTTTTGTCAACATATTCACGGCCACTGTCTCATTGTCTTTCATTAATAAATCCACACCCGTTGTAAATTTCGCTTTCTCTCACCCATTATTTAATGGATAATTACTGAGGCATACGGCATTATGAGAAATATTGAGAAATATTGAGGCCTACGGCCTCAGCTGGCTGCAATATTTCTCATAATGCCATATGCCTCAGTAATTATCCATTAATTACTGCCGCCACTTTTAGTAATCATTTCTATTTCTATTATTATTCTATTACTGTTACCACATGAAATAGTAAGTAAGAATGTATGCAGTTATAATTTTACTTTGTCCGCTACTCGTTACTTGTAATTTTATATAAATGTAAAGTACGCCAGTTAGTTACATGTGGCAGTGACCAAATCGAAAGCTTAAGCTGCTTTGGTCACTGCGCACAGTTTATTTTTGATTATTTATGTAATTTATTGTTTCTTGTTTATTTTTACTTTGTAATCTATAGTAATCTTTGCTGTAATCTCTTGAGATAGTGCAAAATAAATCTGTTCTGTTCTGTTCTGTTCTGTCTGTTCATTAGTATTAACATTGTAAAAATATGCACTTCACATAACAATCCCGAATCTAAAACGGGCTACGTGTCCTCTGTAACCGAGATATGTCTCAGGGAACTGTCTTTAAATTGAGCAACCACACACACTTTTCCTCTACTAATACTAAAAAAAGATTTGTTTCTCACTCAAACGTTCCCGCTTTTTTGTAGAAGTTCAGGAGCGGGACTGTATGTTTTAAGTGAAAGCCAGCGGTTAGTCTATACTCCAACGGCTATGTTGGGTACTTTTGTTGTTTATCTTACGTCAAACATATTGCTATGATAAAACTTTTGCACGATTTTACAGCCACCGCAATTCCATGTCACTATTCACAAGTTGAATCAAGCATGCTCAAGTGGACCCTTTGTCAGTTGCTGAGAACGAGAACATCGTTTAATAAAAATGTCGTTTGAAGTTGTTGAGACATATTTTTTAAAATAATGTTTCATAAAAAAAAACAAACAAACAAAAAAAAAAAACATCACCAATTCGGTGCGGCATGTATGGTTGCATTTATGATTGTGCAGTTAGAGGTGCAGTGATAGGTGCAGTGCATGCGTTAATTGTGAAGGTGATTACCCCACAGTAAAGTGCACCAGTGGTATGTATCACGTTTCGTAAAGTAAAGTATAATTCAGTTCATATATCATTTACGGGTAGGAGGAACAATTTGCTTCCAGTAGTTTCTAGTGTGCTGTACAAGGTCAGAGGTAATTACAATGCACGCCTCTGTATCCCTCTCGCGAAGGAATTCTCTGATTTACAAGGAGACAGACACTACCTGTCCATGAGGTTTACAGTATACTTTGCTTTCAGCTATGATGAAGTTTCCAATTGTCAGAAGTCTCTTACAGACAGAGCACTTGATGCATTGGCGGTGAAGCACACTACTGTCAAAGTTACATTTCTCCATTTGGAAAACAGTTCTCCCACATACCACACATTTATCTTTAGGCAAATCCCTTCCTCCTGAGGGTAACTGGTTTAGTACTTTGCGCTTCTCTACCTCTTTTGCTACGTTGTTACCGTTGGTCTTGTTAGTTAGCCTCTCTGGTTTAGCTGGTATTTTGGGTTTTTTCTTGTCAGATGGATCTGATGCGTCGCCTTGTTTGTTGGATTGTACGATTACAGCAGAGGTAGAGTCATTCTTAATTTCCAGTGACACCTGAAATAAACGATGAAACTCACTTATTGCAATCTGTGCGATTCCTGTACATGCAACACAATATGTTATGAAATATGATGGTAATTCATTATCACGCTTATTTGGCGTTTCATCTCCTCGACAAGCTATAAAATGGTCATGCGTTTTGGAAATAAACTAATGCTGGCAAGACCTGATGTTGGGGTAATATTTTCAAAATCACTTACCTGATTGTCATTAGTTTCGTTAAGTAACTGTGAAAATCTTTTACTTCTTCTGTTTGCTAGTGCTATCCAGGCAGGTTGATTGGAAGCCTTTTCATTTTCGTGGGACACTTTGTCCGCATCACAAACCTTAACTGGTGAGGCGGGGACTGAATCCAAGGATTCCACTTTGTGGGCCTGACACACTTGTGATGAATTCTTAACATCAAAACTTTTACTTTGTTCACCAAGGGGTTTTTCTTGATTTCCATTTTTCTCTTGTTTTTCAAGTTTCAGATCAGGAGATTTTTCACCATTCTGTTTAATGCCATTTAATGAGAATCCTCTTTGCAGTGGTGACTTCACAGGTGACTCCTCTGATGGCTCCGTTTTCTCAAAGTTCTTATTTAGTGATTTAGACCTCCTACCGCGGTCAAGAAAAGGTCTACTGATTTCTTTATTTGCAAAAACTTCCTCTCTTGGTTTCGACTCTTTTTTTTCCGTCTCTACATTCTCTATGCTCTGAATGACAGTGTCTTTCACCTTCATAGTAAGGCTTTTATCTTCATTGTCTTCATGGATTTTACTGGATGCTTTGACACTTCTCATGGTGGTCTCTTGTTCCTGTATACCTTTAGCTTCAATTATGTCTTCTGACATGTCACCAGCTGAGATCAAATCACTTTCTTCCTTCTTTTTATCTACTGTTGAAGATTTCAACACCTCATTGAAAATTTCCGTTGCGTTTGCTTTTAAATCGGCCACAACTTTATCCCTTCCTGGATCATTCTTAATTTCTGCATCTTCCGATATTGTTTTGTTGATTACATCTGAATTTTTACTAATCCCCTTTCCTTCAATGGACTCCATGGCTGAGGTGGAGTTCGAAGAAATCTCTTGTGGATCAGTCTTGGACCGCTTGTGTGGTTTCAAAGGATTACCCTTCGTGGTTTTGGATGACTTGTGGGAGAGAGCTCTACTGGGTGGTCTACGGTGTTTTGGAGCAACTTTTATTCTATCATGTGCAGCTTGAAGTCCCTCTAAAGATGAAGCACTCGGCAAATTTTCGAAACTGACTGCAGCTGCAATAAAGCAAAAAAGTCACACGGAGAACCCAATAGGAAAATATTATCACTCTGCCTTGTTGAAAAAAAGAGCTGCCTGGACTAACAATATACAAGAAAAACATTCTGTCAAAGTGATGGCTTTGCTTTTTTAGGTATTAACAAAATATCTCTTTGCTAATCATTTCAAGTAACATTTTAAGTACCATACTTGGAAATACAATTCATAATTTAAGTATCTACTAGCATAAGCAATTAATAATTTAAAACTGATTTATCTGAGTTTGTAAGTTTAGTTTGGAGTTTTGATGACTATTATCCAAATTAAAAATTCCCAAGGACTTCTTATATTTCAATCAAGGTAAACAATCTGTTGTGAAGTCAAGGTTCTTTACTCAAAAAGCCTCTGCAGTCCATCTGGAACAGAAAGTTTAGCCTTCATGCAGTTTGTGACTAATGACAGTTGTTTCATTAGCATGTTTCATAAAAGGGATACTGCTGACATCTTTTCTTGTTTGGAAAGGAAATTTTGGTTGATGAATATTTCCAGAATGTGAGGGAAATTGATGTATTCTTAATCATAAAATAGACAAAGAAACCTTGACATGCTCTTTTTTCCTGTAAAACATTCAGGAAGTGGATTTCACTCAAGAGGTAGGAGAAAACACTCAAATGAATCTTGTGTTTCCCTCTACACTTCTTTCATGCTCTGTCTGCCCTTGCACGCTCCACAAAAGAACAGAGCACAGTCAAGGCTTCCTTATCTGTGTAATAAAGCCCAGTTTGATCCAGTGCACATTTGAGTCTTCTTCACTGAGTTGACAATGTATGCTACATAATTATATAAAATGTAATTTTCACAAAAGGTGAGGTTGTGTTTTTCATTGGATCTTGTTTGTCATATTTTTCATTGAGATTTGCTAGAAAGAAACAGGGACCAATTCATGGAAACTTACCTTCGGTACCACTGTCACAACTTATGATGCTCAAATCCAGGCCTGTGGAATCTGGTTGGCTAGCTATGTCCTCTGAAGACATGAAAGGTTCCTCACTTATACTTTCTTGGCTTTTACTATCTGTTTCCAAGGTTTTTACCAGTTTGTCAGAAGGCTGAAACAAACATACTGCAGTTGGTAAAAATTAAGTAACTACAAATGTGAACTCATTTTAGAAGAAAGCATGTAGTCTTTCCTGCACCAACCCCACATTAGAGGAAGAGTGAAGCATAGATGAATAATGTTCACCTTTTCCTTGCTCTGATCGCTGGTTATTAAATGATATCAGACAAAACTTTCTTCAGTTGGTAAGATCAACCTTCTACTTGAAAAAGTGTCATGGCTTAAAAAGATAAATTTAAAGACCAGGTATGTCTTGGGGATATTTAATGTTCCCCTACTCCCTACTAAACTGTAAATCACAAGCATTAGATGCAAAACCAGGGAAATGTGTAAAAGAACAGTATTGCAGGCAGGGAGTGAGTAATAAAGGACTTAAACCCTTACATTTACTGTAGAGCCATGTATACTACCTTTTCACACCAGACACCCAGTGAGAGTGTTTATGTTACACCTTTCTTTGATAGCCTGATTGTATTTTCAAAACACAGCCAGGCAAATCACTTTTTGAATCTTCTTTCCTCATTGACTAAAAAAACTGTTTGTGCCTTTCATGGGCGTAATTTGTTTCAACAAAAAGCCACCTCTTACTGCACAACTCACCATATTCATAGGCTTACTCTGCATTGTTTGGATGGGATTGTCAAATGTACTTCTTCTTTCATGCAACTCAACAACAGCCAGTTGACTGTTAGTTTTTGCCTCAACCAAGGAAGGCTCTGACTTGGTACGATTTCTTATTGACACATCATCCTCTGGTGATGAGACTGTATATGTTGGTTTGTAATGCTCTGTTGGGATATCTTCACAAGATTTAACTCGTGTGGGGCTTTTCTTTCTCCTGAAAATTTTTTTCATCTTTTTCAAAGGACTCCACTTCCACCTGGATTTTCGTTTCTTTTTATCTTTAGTTGAGCCTGTTTCATCATCAGAAAGTATATCCTCATCACCACTGCTGGGTGAGAGATGGTCTTTGCTTTTGTCGGGGACTTTGATTCTGACACTTGTTTTCATTGATTTAATGTTTTCCTGTGAGGTCAAAATCTCCTCAGAACTTGAAGTGAAAGAGTGTGCATGTCCCACAGGTAAAGGCTGTGGACAAGTCAATGTGGGATCTGATCTAAACTTGTTTAATAGGTCAGATGACAGTTTTCCTGGTTTCTCTGTTTTGTGTAACCCTATGGACAGAAACAAGTAAAACTGAGTCAAAATTATACTTGAAAGTTATCCTTTTTCAGTAGTTACTCCTTTGATAAAAAGCCACACATGATCACTTGAATTTCTTTGGGTGAGTTGACACCCAGAGTTTGGAATCAAGTCAAAAGTCACAGTAACTGGGCATAATTCACTAAGGTTGTTTGGATTGGTGTCACCTTGCCAATTCAGCTGAACCTAGAGAGCCTTTCAAAGGACTTAAATTTTATTGCCCTTAATAGTCTGATAATTTTAGTCATTGGCTTCAAAATAATAACCATGTAATGCTGTTTTGTGGATAAAGGTTAAATTGGTGGCAACTGAAAGTGAATCAAAATGACCCTGGGGTACATTAAATTTAAAAAGTTACAATGAACTCTCTGTCAGTTTCAAACCCACACTACAGAGGATGTGGACCTACTTTTGACTTGTTTAATACACAAAGCTTAGGAAGGAATTTTATCGAAACTTGATAAGCAGGTGTATCACCCACTGGGCCGGGGTGTAGACATTGACATCACCTTCGCCTCATATAGGAGGCAGTAGAAAAAAAACAAAACAAAAAAAAAATGCAAGCAAATAGGCATTTTTGTTCAATGTAGACAAATGCAATCACAGAAAAACTTAATTTTATCCTTCAGGAGAAATTGGATCTCTTATCTTCAGATCTAGGTAATCTCTAAGGGGCTATACCAAACAAGTTGCTCAGAAGGTGCTTATGATTTATCTCTGGGCCAGCCATGAAACTTGACCCAGAAGTTCCCCACTGGTCAAACTTAGGCTTAAAAGAAGCAATTCACATTAAAGTTGCCGGAAGTTGAGCTTCTCTCACTACTAAACGCTATTATTTTGTATCACGTCATCGCGATTTTGGAACTGCTGACTGAAATTAACGGGTCGCCAAGCACCGAAGAATTGAAGCCATATTAACAGTAAATCTCTTTGTTTTCCGCACAAATCTGTTTACGTAAAATCTTGAGTTTAGACATCTTTCCCACTGATTTAGTTATATTTTACATTCAGGAGCTTGGTAGAGGACGTTTATGTGAATATTAGCCACAACAGATCAACACTTCAGTTACGTACGATGCATTTGATCTTACCTTCAGCTGAACGAGAGCCTTTCACACCACCCTCCGCCATGTGCGAGACTCTACACACAGACACGAAGAGAAATACCTGTAGGTCTCATTATCAACAAGATATGAAAAATAATCAATAAAAGAAAAGTACTATATTTTATAAGAACACCAAACTCAGTATAAACTACCTGTTATAATGAAATCCCCGTTTCACCAAAAGGGTAGTAATTTTGACCTAGATCAAAGAGCAAATTGGATTTTAATCGAATCACAGTCATGTTCGAGGAAAAATTTTATATTATTTTATCCACAAGTTGAGCTTAAGGTGCTTTATAGATTTAACAGAAACATCAGCTTATGCGTAAACATGAGAGAAAGCATACTCGGTATTAAAACCATATTTACGGCCTCATTCGAAATCAACAGACTGTACTTTTAAATTTATTCTCCCAAGACTTTTTTGGTGGAAGTCTCATGAGATGGCCAAAACAGCTTTCAGAAAAAAATAACAGATCAATCGTAGAAAAGACTGAATAAAAGCGATAAATAGGCCAACTGAATGAAACACAAGTCGTAATTAAATTTCCACATCGTGTGAAACAGTCGAAATTAGTGCTTATTATCAACTGCAACATCACGTAACTACACAGCTCAAATACAAACAAAACTTACTTCTAAACCGCTTTCTGCTTAATAAATCCGAGAAATGATGACACCACTGTCTATCATTGGAAACGAGTTAAGAAATAATAGAAATTCCAATATTACTATCAGCTTGTGATGGATCGAAGAACAAACCATTAGAAATGTTTAGCCTAATTTAGAAAACGCTTAAGTGACAGATTATGACACTTTACACAATGTGAAAAACTACCAATATTTTGACCACGAGTTTTTCCGAGAGCGGTGTTTATCCTAGGCTGCCTCTTCCACTCCTTCTTCCTAAATGTCTTCAGCGAAACATGTATTGAACCCTTTCAGCCTGTTTTTGAGCCTTAACTTCCTTCTTTTCTGGCAATGACTTCAACTGCAGGTCAACTTGTGAACTTGGTCGCTTGTCAGTTGAGACCTAGTTATGCATTATTAACCGGATATTGGCCGAGTTCTTTTTTTTTTTTTGCATTTTTATGGACCAAGACGAAGTCAAGATCCATCAAAATGCGAAAAAATAGCAAGGCTAATATTCAGCCATCTTAACCGAACAAGCTTGGTCAATAAAGGGTTTATTACATTGCAAAAAGATTTCGCTTCATTTAGAAATAAGAATGACTTGTTTACTTCGAGAGCCGGGAAAGAAAGCCAGCTGTGTTTGTAGCACAACAAACTCGCGAAATTCGTTTCTGTTTTCTTTGTTTTGACTATCTTCTGCCACTTTTTAAGTTTCTATGGCCGAAATCGTCCAAGAATTACGAACGTAGTTCTAATTCAATTTTTTTCATGCGCGGGATCAATGCGGGCAATCCCGAACGGGTAAGATGGGTCCATAAAAGATGGGCCCGTAAAAATTGTTACGTGAGGCCTTCTGCCAAACAAACTTTGATGAATTCTGCTCTCGCCCTACTTGGAATTCTTTGATCCGCCTTGTGGCTCATCTGGGTCAACTTTGAGGCTTCTGTTTTGAGAGTCTAAAACGGCTATGGAACGTTCCCTGTTTTACATGCCATACATACTGCAAGTTCCTTTCCGGCATATGAACGAGGCTGACGAAAACGGAAACTACTTTCTCAGATTCAAGATGGCTGCTGTAGCAAGCGATGCGTCGAGTATGTTAGCTGAAGCCTTACAGAAAATGGATGGTCTTATCTCTGACGATCAACTGATTATGGAAAGCCTGAAGACCCAACCTCACGCTTACTCGCCAAAAGAGAAAGTTGTTTCCCTGTTAGAGGAACTCAAAGGACTACTCGAAGAGATTAAGGATGATGCCGTCGAGTGCACGATCGAGATCTCAGGTTCAACAATCGCCTTTCTCACTGACTGGTTGCATTCTTTACAGGTATTTGTAATTAAATCAGGGCATTTGATTTTTATCTTGCCTGGATTTTAAGTGAATCGTAAATGATCCATTGTCTAGGTGACAACCTGTAGAGATCTGCAAAAAGACGAACAACAAACGATGACGAGTGGCGAGAATCATCTGTTGCGAATCAGCAGACTACAGGACGAGAAAGAATCTTTAATCTTGCAAGTTAGCGTCCTAACAGATCAAGTGGAAGCACAGGGTGAAAAGATAAGAGATCTTGAGTTTACTAAGGAGGAGCTGCAGATAAAATTAGAAGAGGCAGAACAATTACTCGAGAGTGTGAGTTCCTCTCTTTCGATATCTTCATAAGTTCACTGGCAACATACAAACATCCTTTGTTGAGACATGATTAGTTATAATTCTCATAAGGAGACGTATAAGTAGTTATAATTCTCTGAGGCTTCCTTTGTGATTTGGCTCTCCAATTTAGGTATCCAGTCTACGGTCTAAGGGACTGGTCGTAAAGTACGGGGGAAAGGGTGGGAAGTAAACTTGTTCCTGATTATACAACATGGGGGGGGGGGGGGGGGGAGGCACACTGCTTGCCAGAAAATTGAGCCCTACTTTTCAAGTAGTGTTTTCTATTCTCTCTTCCATGCATAAATTATTACATTTTGACCAGTCCCTAACCGTGAACAAACATTTCCAAGTCTTACTGGCAAGGTTAGCATACTTTATAGTCAACTTTGTTCAGCACTAACAGTTATCGTGGCTTAGAGCTCTAGATGTGAAGTGAAAATCCCCATGCTCCAACCATTATAGTTATCTTGGTGTACTCTTCAATCAATGGTTCTTTTACTAATATAAAACATGATGGTAGAGAATTGTTCAAATCTTGGTACCTTTGGAAGGACCAGAGTTCCTAGGGTGCAAAGTGATGAAACACATGTTTCCTTTGGAAAGACATTTAAGTCCAAGGAAAAAGTATGCAGGGCCTGAATTTACTATAGAGTGTGACCTTCCTGGTGAGTTAGTTGTAATAGAGTCTTAACTGCCAGAGGAACTGATGCTCTGACCAACTGAGCACAAGTCATCTTGAGAGTCAGGTGAAGAGTTGTTTATTAATTTGTCAGTTAGTTACACATGTACATGTTTGAAATTTGGTTGAATTGATTGCCTCTATAGTAGAATGTGATAGTATTTTGTATCAAAGGTCTTGGTAATTTTTATTGATTCTTTTATTTCCAGGAAATAATTAAAACCACGAATATATTAAATGAAAAGCTGCAGCTAGTGACAGAAATTTCATCTCTGAAATTGGCTCTTAATAGTACACCAAAGACAGAATCTATGGGATGCAAGGTACTTTAGCTTATGTTGTTTCTGTTGCATTTTTCCATTCATAGCCCTGAGCTGTTTTTGCTCTATTGTAGTTGTGTAACTTATTTTATTTTTAACTTGTGATACGTAAAGGTTTGTTGCAGACTTGTTGCAGTGAATTTTCACCCATGATATATGAATCTACTTATAATCTGGAGCAAAAAAACAATTTCATCAGGTGTCATGAAATTTGTGGAACTTCACAGAATTAAGGGGTGTATCCAAATGGTCATTTTGAAGAAAAACATCTCTAAATCTGAGCCAATTTAACCCATTAATGGCCACAGCTTTTGTGAAAAACTGTGTTTTGAAGCTAGTCGAGCAGATTTCGGGTCACTGCTGTGGTTTTAAAAGCTCAAACTTACTAAAAACCCATTGACAGCTCATACACTCAACAGCCTTTCGATCCAAATGCAAAATGGCGGCCTGAAAATCTCGAGCATGCGCAGAAAGCAACATTTTGAGTTTTTGGGTTGAAAAGTAATGCCCCACTTACGACTTTTACTTTTGTCTCTTTCTCCTGCCTGAATTTTTTCAAGTTTTTTCAGTCACTTTAATCTTCACAATGCATGTTTGATTAAAAAAAGATTGATCATTCACTATTGAAAAAAACACCTCCAAGTGAAAAATGATTTTGGATTTTGGAAAACTAAGACCTTGAAATCTAAGTTCAGTAGAGCTTATACTTATTTTATTTTAATTTTTAAGGGAGACCAGGAAGCTCTTCTGGCTGAAAAAGAAATGGAAATTGAAATGTTGAAAGACCACATTGAAGTCCTTCTTGATGAGCAGGAAATAGCCAGCAGGTCACATCACAGTGAAGGTAACATATGGCTTAATTTGTGAGTAGCTACATCAAGATGAATGTTTTATTTTTATGATGGGGTTTTACATTAGGGCTACTTGTTTTATCTATTTTTAATTAGTAGACATGTTATGAATATAAAACACAACAAAACTACTTTTATATCAAAACATGAGAAGCTTTAAGCGCACTTTAAAAAGAAATTTTTTAACAGGACAATTATAAGTTATATTAACTGAACAATATGATAAGTATATTTAACAATTACTCCACGGGCGCACGTTGGATATGAGATGATAGATAGCCGACAAGGCACATAGCGCCGAGTTGGCTATAATCATCTCATATACAACAAGCATGAGTGGAATAATTGTTTTTTAAAAAAAATGCCCCCAAGATATTAGACGAATCTTCTTGACATTATTTTGTAAGAAGAAACCGGATGTTACGATGTACTGATATTAGATTATGGTATATTCGCTCATATACCATAATAGCTATAAAGCCAATAAAAAGTCTTGAACTGCATTATCCAATGATTCAGTTTTTAATAACATCAATTAACCCAATGTGTTCTTTAAAATTTACCTGACTGTATGCGTGGCATTGTTTGTTTCTGCAACAAAATAAAGCTGTAAGTGTTACCCTCCTGAGTAAGTTGTTATTACAATTTATATTACATTAACCACCTTTTATTCAGTTATTTACAAGATGCTTTTGAGAAGTTAATGGATAGTTGGGACATACTTAAATGGTCATGTCCAATATGTGCTGTTACATGTAGGTCCTGCTCTATTGGGACCAATGCTTTTCGTTCACTGGGTCTTTTGCATGTACATGTTCCTCTGGGAAGAAACTTTGTTTGATTGATTTGGCTCATCAAATTTTTCAACTAGTAGCAAACCAGGTTGGAATTGTTACTGTATTTCAGTTGAAAAGGATCCTTCATAAAAGGATTGTTAAGTGTACTACTTGAAGACCTAATTTGGTTGTGGTTGAAATGTCTTCTCTTTAGGCGATGATAATGAACCACAACTTTTTTGATATTTGCGGTTACCTGATGTCTTTGTTTTTGATGAAGATGAAGTTAAGATTGATATTTCTTATTTGAAAAGTTTGAGTCTAAGTACACACAATTCTTGACATTTGTTAAAAGTTTTGCCTGAAATTGGATCATTTCCCCCTCTGTCAACCGTTGTACATAAATCCATAGGCTAATGGAACAGCTGGGTCATGGAAGAAAATAAAAAACAATTTTCAGCTTGAAACAAGAATATTTCTTTCAATGCAGTACATGTAAGTAGAAGTTACTTTTAAGATTTTGTGTTTAATGAACAGTAACGATAAACATAATGTGAAATAAAGTTACTTGAAGCATGCTTGCCTTATGTAGATACACCATGTATGGTGTGTCACGCTAGACATACCATGACATCCCCCTCTCTTTGTTGGTAAAAAAGGGGTTCTAGTTACATGCAGATTAATCGACAAAAGAATTTATAAAGTCATAACTAACATCTACTGAATTGGCCTCACAGCTATCAGACCATAACAGTAACTATAATTATTATTTTAAAAAAAGAAACAGTCTCATAAGTGCAACAAGGGACCCACTGTCAATAAAAAAAAATCATTTGGGAGTCTTTGTCTCTATTTGATCTTTGAACTTGGTTGGGACCTGGGTGGTGTGTCCTGCTCTTATAACTTGGTTCCTGAGTTGGTGGCCAGTTCTTTTGCTGGTTGCGACAGCAGCTGGCTCAGAATCAGCTGGTTTCTCACTGCATGGTAATTTGGCGTGAGGTGGTTGATTTAGTGTTAACAGGCTGCTTTCAGGGCTGGCTTCTGCCAGTTGAGGGTGGCTGGTTGTTCTGGCATTGGACACACGAGTATCCCTGGGGCTGTGTACCAGGGCCACTGTAAGTGGAAGGTTGCTACCTGTTGGTAGGGTTACATGTGTTTCGCTCTGTTTCCTTGGTCTCAGGTGTTCCCTAGTCGTCTGGTAGATTGTTCCTTGGATGTCTACTGCGTAAGTTCGAGGGCATTCCATTGGTTGTGGCCTATTCAGCACGGTTCCTGGCTGCCAGATATTCTTCAAGGTGTTCCAGACAATACTGGTTCCCAGTTAGTAAGGGTTCACTTGTCACTGCTAGCCTTTCTGTTGTAGAATATTGCCAGCTTTTCTTGTCGTTTCTGGTTAGCTTCCTGGTGGAGCTCATTATTTGGGTGTTTGGACTTCAGTGCACTTCTTCGGTCTGGGAATGTTTGTGGTTTGCGTCCAAACAGCAATTTGTAGGGTGATGGTGTTTGGTCATCAAGAGGGGTCATGTAGCACATCCATAGGGCTGTGTACGGGTATCCTTTCTCCTCTAGTGCTTTCAGCAATAGCGGCTTGCAGGTTGATGGTATGGGGAACTGCAACATAATGTGATGCTGCTTTCTTTGCATTTTGATTGGAATCTTTCACTGATGTATTGAGATCCAAAGTCAGCGACGATAGTGGTTGGTAAGCCGTATTCTGCTAGGATGCTTGTGAAGTGGTTGCACACAGTGTGACTGGTCATGTTGTTGAGGAGTCTTATCATGGGAAATCTTGAAAAGTAATCAACGATCATTAAGTATTTTGCCCCATTAAATTAAAAAATGTCTGTACTAAGTTTTTCCCATGGCGAGGTAGGGAGGTCTGGTTGTATGATGGGTAGCTTTGGCTGAGCTTGCTGGTGCTTGTTACATGGGTCGCAGATCTTTACCATCTGCCTGATGTCAGTGGAGATGCTGGGCTAGAACACCGATTCTCTAGCTCAAAGAATACATTTGCTCTCTCTCCTTGATGCCCTTGGTGGATTGCGTGGAGAACTTCGTTTCTCATGGCTGGTGGGACAATGATCTTGTCACCTTTGAGTAGTAGGCTGTCTTGTACTGTGAGGTCGTATTGAAAGTTCTAAAATTCCCATAGTTCCTGCAGGCGTTGCTTTCTGTAGGGGGGCCAGCCACTGAAGATGGTATTCTTCAGTAGGTTCATGGTAGGATCTAGTGTGGTAGAGGATTTCACTGCTGTCAGGTCAATAGGGGTGGATATGAAGAGGATATTATGCTGTGGTACAGAGTCTTCCATCATATTCTCAGCAGAGGGTGTGATTTTCTTGTGGCAAACCCGCGAGAGGGCGTCAGCGACTGGAATGGTCCTTCCTCTCCTGCACTGCACATTGACATCAAATCGTAGGCATCTAAGGAGCAGTCTCTGCAACCGGCTCAGGGCTTCATTGATGTTCTTCTTGAAAATTTTTTCCAAAGGGGAGTGGTCTATTTCGACGGTTACATTCCAGCCGAGTAGGTAGTACTCAAACTTTTCCAATCCATAGGTAACTACCAGGCATTCACGCTCATAATTTGAATATCTTGACTCAGTGTCTGTGAGTGACTGGGATGCCATCGCAACAGTGCACTCATTTCCTTGGGAATTCAACTGCCTCTGCCAGACCCCGATGCTTGTTCTGCTTGTGTCACACTGAAGGATTGTGGGTGTATTCGGTTCTGGGTCATAATAAGAGATAAGTTGGGATGTGCAGAGTTCTTGCTTAATTTTATTGAGGGCCTGTTGATGGTGGGGTTCCCAGCTGAACTGCATGTGCTTTTTGGTTAGTTCTCTTAGTGGTGATGTGAGGTCTGCCAACTTGTTGAGAAACAGTTCAGGTAAGTGATCATGCCCAAAATAGTCTGAAGCTCCCCTATGTTTGACGGGCTCTTTATGTTGCGAATCGCCTCAAGTTTCTCTTTTGCTGGTTGGATCCCATTCTCTGTCAAGGTGTGTCCGTAGGTGACTTGTGTCTGCTTGAACTGCAGCTTTTCAGAATTTAGGCTGACATTGTGTTTACAAACAGCCTTGAGCAGTTTGCGGAAGGCTTGATCATGCTCTGCTTTGGTTGAACCACATACGACAATGTTGTCTGCAATCCCCATTACATTGGGGATGCCCCTGTAGACTTCATCAAGCTTGCATTGGAAGATGTCTCGGGAGAGCTTGACCCCAAAAGGTAAATGTTTGAAATGGTAACGTCTGAAGGGGGTGTTAAATGTGACTTGACTTGTCTAAGGCCACATGCCAATAACCTTTCTTCGTGTCAACCACGGTAAAGAACTTCTTACCATGTAGCTGCGGTAGGAGTTCATTGATGGTGCGGGTGTAATAGTGCTCTGGGCATATGTTCTTATTGAGGTACTTGGGGTCAAGGCAAAGTGTGATCTTTCTCTTGCCCACGGGAGTCTCTCTGATGTTACATATGATTGAGTTTACCCAGTCAGTTGGTTCGGTTATGGCTGTGATGATGCCATCGGCTATCATTTGCTGAGTTCCTCTTTGTATAAGGGTAGTATGTGTACTGGAACGGTGCGTGCCAGGTGGATGACTGGAATGGGGTGGTCATTTGGCTGAATGTGGTACTTCTCTCCTGGGAAGCAGCCCAGCTTTCAAAGCAATCTTGGTATTCTTCCAGGACAGTTAGCTTGGATAGCTGACCACATTGTGCCTCCATTTCGGTCTTGGTTGTGGAGATGGTGATAACTTCATATAAATTTGTTGATATTATTCCCAGGTCTTGGCTCTGTCAGCACCCCAGTATGGATGAGCTTCCTGGGGCTTCCACAATGTTGAATCTGATATCAGCTGTCTTGTCCTTGAAAGAGACCTTTAATGTGGTAACTCCAAGGTTTTCTATCTCAGAACCTCCATAGCCTCTAAGAACGTTATTGCATTGAACAATGGCAATTGGGAAGGGGAAGTGTTGGAGGTCTGTGGTGGTGATTACGCAGGCATCCGCTCCCATATCTATTTTAAGGCTCATGTCGTGGCGTCCGTTAATCGTGACCTTGGCGAAGATTTTGTCTGGGTGGCTATTGATGGCATTAAGTGAAATTCCTTGGGTTTGTTGGCCCTTTGCTGAAGTGAGAGTTCCGAGGAACACAGTAATGGGTTCTATGTCGCTAGTTTCCTCGTCTGAGCTTTCATCACGAGCGTATGGGTAACCATCCTTGAGGGGATAGTCATCCTCTATATGGATGTCTTGGCCTTGATACTCTGGGCTAGTCACGATTTGATGGACCTTTTGAAGGCGTTGTTGCATGCACGCTCTTGCGTAGTGGCCGGTCTTGTTGCAGTGCTTGCATTTTGAATTTTTTGCAGGGCAACTTGCTGGTTTGTAATGAGTGTTTCTGCATTTGAAGCACTCTTTTGATTTGAACTGGAATTGGCTAGGTTTTCTGCCTGGAGGATCTCTTTGGCTTCAGTCGTAGTGGTGGGTTTGGTGTGTGAAAGTGTTTTTAGTCAGACGGGCGGGTCTTCTATCAACTGCGTTAAGGTCTGATTTCTCTTCGCCGTTGCTAATTATTTTCATATGTGCTTTAGTGCTTTCCTCTACCTTTACTAGGTCATAGACTTGCTTGAAGGTTAGCTCATTGCCGAGTGCTATCGCATCTTTGCGTACTTTATCATATGTCACGCCAAATATGAGTGTGTCTCAGAGGGTACTTTCTTTAATGGCAGGATTGTATCTGCCATCTTCTATTAATAGCCGCACTTCGGTTACGAATTCCTCAAGTAGTCTGTCTCCCTGCTTTAGGCATCAGAGTTGATATCTAGCGAGGATCTGATTACTTTGGGGCTTTGTATAAGCTTCAAGTGCCACCATAACTGGGACGATTTTGAGGTTGTCGCCATCGCTGGCCCATGTGGTCGTATTATAGATTTCCAGGCCTTTGTCGCCAATCCATAACAGCAGCAGTCTCACCTTTTTTGCCTCTTCAACTTTGTCAAGTGGTCCTGCAAAAATGAGTCCGCATTTTTGCTGGAAGAGTTTGAAACGCTTATGAATGTCTCCTGGAGTGGTCCAATCCATAGACGGTGGTTTGAATCGATTGGCCATGTTGTTTGCAAGTCTTCGATATAATTGAGGTTTATTTTCTCCCCTACTCTTGCTGGTTAAAAGGTATGTCCTAACAAGTCATGTTAAATGCTTCTCCTGGAGAATCCAATGTCTTCACAGGATCCCACTCCTGACACCATGTTAAGATTTTGCGTTTAATGAACAGTAACGATAGGCATAATATGAAATAAAGTTACTTGAAGCATGCTTTCCTTATGTAGAGACATCATGTGACACACCATGTATGGTGCATCATGCCAGAATACCGTGACAGTTACTGTTGAGGAGCAGGTCACCATCATTGTTAAATGACCTTTCCTACTGTTTCAATTTTTAGGTATACAGGCTTAGGCTGAGTTCTCCTTGTTTTCCTTAATCAGCATGTATCCAGTACCTTATTTTGGCGAAAAAAAAGTAATTATAAGTAACAGTTGTTGAATTTGTCTTTCATGATTCTCCGTACCCTCTCGATGTTGATAATGTTTTTGTTTGAAAGCAACTCGATAAATTTTTCTTTTCTTTGTTGCTCTGAAAGTCACATCAAACAGAAACCACTGGTAATAATGATACTTTATTTTTTTCTCAGTTCGTAAGCAGGCGGTATTCTACAAATCGTGCAATCTGATTGGTTTCAAGAGTGGGCAGTATTCTCCCCATCCGGCCCGCTCACGGCAGGCGGTCTCTGTTTCGCTTGAGTCACTTTGCAGAACATCTCAAGCTTGGTTGCAATTTTTCGCAAATATATCTCATTTTGCCAGCTGGGCAGAATTTTTAAGCGAAGACTTCGGTCACGACCCTTTGGCGATAAATAATAGTAATTCTTTCTTCTCTCTCACTCTCAAATCACTTTGGTTTTTCCGCAAAAATTGATTTAGAAATAAATTGTGTGGTACTAAATTTGTTTTTAAAAAGATTGGAACACGGCCTAGAAACAATTTGTAATTAAATAATCCTTCCCAAAAAGTCACTCAGAAAGTTAAAACAAGAGGTAGTTGCAGTTAACAATTATGTTAATCAATGTGATTCTCAATCGCTAATATCTGAATTCTTCAATGCAATTTGTTCGTTTTTGAAAAGTTAAGCGAAGTTTTGAGTTCTTCACGCTATAAATACACTTTCACTTATTCTTGGCAAGTCCCTTGAATTTGGACATTACTACCATAAATTTCACAACAGTAACTGAAGGAATTCGATGAATATAAGTGGCATTAAATCCCTTTGTGTCTAACTGAAAAGAGTCTCATCAACTTCAGCTTTTGGGTGTAAGAAAAACCAATTTACGCACACCATTACAGAAAACAAACAAGCAGACTGACAAATCCAAAACAAACATTTGTATTCACTTACAATTTGACTTTCTGTGACATTTTAAAATGGAACAGAGGTAAGTCTTCGGAGATTAATCGTTATTGGAAATAAACAATACTTTACGTAAGATCTCCGAGTGTTTTCTTATTTACGAGAAGATCATCCCTTAGTCATTTAACTCGTGCGTGTTTGTCATACCAGTGCTGCTATTTATTCAAACGCATATGCTTTTTTTCTCGTGGATTGAAAGGTGTCACATCATGACAGTTACTTATCAATAAATGTTTCATTTTGTACTGGGAAGCCTTTTAAGTTACCTTTAGAAATAAAAATTTTTTGGTGAAAGCTTTCTCTTTCATTTGGATTATGTCTGTTTTCTTTATCATCCACTTGGTAACAAATTGTTAAGTTTTTGCGGGAGGATTTTCCCGTAATTAAACTCGTAATTGTAGCCCTAAATCATTCGGGTTCTTATGGCAATCATTTTTTTATGTGTTAGAAAAAAATAAAAATGTTATTGACCAGCATAGGTTGGTCTGTATTGGGAAAAACTGTGCCCTCTGCCTTGAGTACCAAGACCTCGGGCACAGTTTTTCCCAATAATGACCTCCCGCTGGACAATAACATATATCGCTGTGTCGTAATTTATCCATCTAATAACTGTGCGGTCAGAAGAATGTGATAAAAAATCCACTTCTAGAACCTTTGCTCAGTAGAAGATGTCATGGAGATCATTGAAAACTCTTACATAGTTTTGTTTCAGTCAGCCATAGTGGTCTTTATTTCATGGACATTCCATTTACTTAAAACATCTCAGATCTTTGGGGACAAGTATCAATATTAAAATCTATCTGTACCACCCCTTTGGTACTCCTTATAAGCTCCAAAAAAGCAGTTATGTTCCTTACCCAGGAAGGTCATCAATGAACCTTGAATTTGGTAACCTGCAGTAAACTGCAGCTGTACATAGACGATGGACTACTTAACAGGCTTCTCAATCTTTTCCTCACAGAGGTACAGTCTTGGCACTTGGTCTGTTTCTGTTAAAATCTCTTTTACTACAATTCCTCTGTCATTTCTACTCCCATACTTGTGCAAGTGTTCTTACATCATTCTCCAACTTTTCTGCTAGCTATCTCTGTCCTTTATTTGAAAGACTTACCATTTGCTTTTCTGATGAACCTGCTGGGATAAAATTATCCCTTTGAAAGAGGAGTACAAGTGCCTGAATTTCTTTTAATTAACACTGCATAATCTTAAATAGTATTCTAATTGTAAGAGAATCCCACAGGCAATTATTAATTTCTAAGCCTCACCATAAAATCACTGAATATTAAATCGTGTGATGTTTTTCTTTTTTTGTTTTTGTTTTTTTGTTTTTCTTTTTTCCATTATGGTTTCCTACTTGTATTTAACAATTATTTGCCGAAGGCAAGGTGTATATCATCGAATAATCCCCGAGACGAAGTTGAGGGGATTATTCGACAATATTCACCGAACCTGAGGCGAATAATTGTTTTAGTATAATTTCAGAGCTGAACAACTGAGAAATTTCTAAAATCATAACATTTTAGTAACATTTATTAGCTTTTTATTTTAACATTTTATCTAAACCGCGTGGAGCGGTTTATATAGCGTCATATAAGGAACTGCTCAACCAATCAGATTGCTGGAAGCTCTTTGCTCAGCTCTGAAATTATACTAAATGTAAATATTAGCAACTGCAGCAGGATCTGCCGCTCGAGGATCGGTCTCTACAGCCACAGCCGGCGCTGCAGCTCCACCACAGACTGACCATGGGCGCAACTCCATTGTCTCCCGAGACAGAAGGACGCCAACATAAATATTAGTAAAGCTGCATCCATCATTTTTTGCAGAAACTTTTCCCCAAATTATCAGTGGTTCTATAGAAGAATTTGTTAAATGAGCATCACATGGTAGTATTGTAAATCATGAAGGGAACTTAATACTAGAAGGGAGCCTTTGAATGGCCATTCCATTATAAAATCAAACAAGTGTTGTCACGGACATACGTAAACCTAAGTTGTTAGACCTTTCTTAAAACCTCACTTTGTGAATAAGTTTTACTGTATCAAAAATTTTATGATAATAGAATATATTTCCATTTATTCTGCAAAATTGTTGGGGCACAAATTAGAGAGTATAATTTTATCCTTTTAAACCAATCTTTCCTCAGGTCAACCACCCTCTGCACTAAAATCTCAGCTAAGAGAAAAAGGTAGGTATTAAGTTCATCAACAGCAAGCTATAAATAAGTGTATAGAAACTAAGTTTTTCTCAGTAGTTGCTCATGTACACCAAAAAAAAATGGGTATATGGAAAACCAGAATTGTTGCAGCAGAAAGGGAACTGGAAATGAAGCTGTAACTGGGCTAAAAATTAGGAAACATTATAAGATTTTCCAGGCTGCCAGTGCTTTCACCTGTCTTGTCCTCTGAATTGCTAATTACTTTGATGAGGCAAGTTGAAGACTTATCTTGAGCTGAAATCTTATTATTAGAAAAAGAAAAAGAAAAAAAAAGGAAAAAAAAGGAAAAAAATATAAAGTAACTTTATTCAATGAGGGTGACACATGACAGTACTAATTAATCGATGACCCAGTGGCCCTCAAATACATCAAAAACAGACTTTGAAAAAACATAAAGTACATGAAAATCCCTACTGGCAGGAGGCAGATCAGTAGGCTATTTACAGAGTGCAGCTGAAGAATTGAACTCAGGGCAACTGAGAACAAATCCAGTAAGTCGTAGGGTGGAGGACTTGAACCCAGGCCACCAGACTACAAGGCCAGCACCCTAACTGCTTGGCCATGCCACCACCATTAAATTATTATAATATCAAGTAAATGCAAGAGGGATAGATGATAACAATTATATTTAGTTTTTTGCTGAATGGCCTTTTGGCTGATATGTATAATACTCATAGATAATAGGAAGACCTAAGAGTCTCCCTTTATAGTCAGTAGTGATGAGAGTTGGGGCTCAAACAAACAAAAACCACCACTAGGATAACTTTTTACCCTCTTGCAAAAGCTCTAACCTGTGTAGTAGGCCTTCACATCATCATCATCATTGGTAAAATTATGGTTATTATTATCAATGAAATAATTATCTTTGGCTTTATCACAGCTTCTGAGGTAAACCACCTAAAAATGGAAGTTGAAACCTTAACAGCTGCCTGTAAGGAAAAGGATAAAAATATTCGAGAACTTCAGCAAACTCTAGTAAAATTCAAGAGAGTAAGTACCTGTTTAAACCACAGCCACATTCTGATAGTTAGTCAAGTGTTCTGATTGTTTGTACACTGTGGTGACGGACCTTTAGACAACCTGATAAGGGGTCATCATCAGAGTTAAGTAAGAGTTAGCCAGTTGAGTGTTTTCAGTCTGGTTTGAGAAGACTGAATGATCAGTTTTGCTGTGATGATATCAGCAGTAAGACTAACTAAATTGAAATTGGTTGTTATTGATCAGTTTTCAACTGTTGGTAAAGTATTTCTTTTTTGGTCTATGTTTGCTGGGCTAATGTTGTGAATAAGTCATTTGTAATACTTTATAATATCAGTCTAAAGGAGTCTAGATCTGCCCTAGGTTACTGGAACAACTTTCTAAGGTAGTTTTTAAAATCACTGCTGCAGTTGGTTCTGTAGGGTAAACAATGAGGAGAGACAACATGGCAAACTGTCATTCTTCAGTTCAAACCATTTACAGCTGTAATATCACTTAATTGACATCTTCTCATATAAGTAAGTGCACCATTGTCAGGAGGAAAGAGTTTGCATGAAAGATGAAAAAGGAATTACAGTACCACTTGCATGTGCTTCAGCATTACACACGCTTTAGGTGCAACTGTGCATTGCTGCAATACATTTGAGTGGTACTGTATGGTTGGTTAGAGTTGTTCTCTGAGTACATTGAAGTACCACTGTTCATGTACAACTCCTGTTCACCCCACAAATCAGTTTGCTTATCAATAAAGACAGGGTTTTATGTAAGTACGTAGACACTAATGCAAGGTTAATCGTTTAAGCCAGAGAAAATCAAAGGAAATACAAGAATCTTTGCTATGCTATTAAATTGATTTATGCTTGTTTAATGTTAGGAATCTTTGAAATGTGAAATCTTTTCTATCCTGATTTGGATAGTGTGGCAGTGGAATTCAAGAATAAAGATTTCCCATTAAATGAGTCATTAGATTTCTCATTTACATCTTAATGAATTTGTTGCATGTGTTGTAGATTGAGGAAATGCTGATGAAAGCAAATCAATGGAAAGGGTTTGATAGTAGTCCAGTTGTATCATTGGATGGTATTGATAGCAGTAGCATACATAGTGCTGACATAGTGACAACAACCAGTAGTGCCAGCAGTCCAGAGCCATATGTTACCACTCCAATTCAGAGTCAAGGATTGTTCACAGGTAAACTGTTTTCATCATGTTATATATTATAAAGTGTACCTACTGATATGGCCAAGTAGCTCACACACCCAATGCATTCAATTTCATAATTTCTTTTTACTAGGTTGGTCAAGTCAAAGATTAATTAAAACTTCAATGTGTACACTGAAGTACTTTGGTTGCACAATGATAATTATTACGTACATTTATTTAGCAGAATAGACTTAAGTCCAAGTTCAGATTATTTTAATCATCCCAGAGAACAACTTCTTATTATATATCCTATTGCTATTCATCATTCATTTTATGTCTCAAGTTATTGTTTTTAGCAAAATAGAAGTCTTCTTCATTGTGACCCTATTGGAGTAAGCTTTTCTCTGTACTACCCATTAACTTCCCAAACAGAAGCTGGTTATCAAGCACAGGGTTGATTAGTGAACTGAAATTTGTAAGTTTAGTTTTCAATTTCTTTTTTGTTCCAGAATCATACACCCAAGCTGTAAACAATCCAGTGACACCTAGCTTAAAAGCACTCAAGACAGAAACACCTCCAGCTAGTCCTGCAAATAGGAAAAGACATGGAATTAGGGCATCATTTGGCAAAGGGCTAATGAAGCTAAGAGGCCATAAAAGTTCAAGTGAACCTAATTTAGGTAATATTGTTTTTATTTAAATAAATGTGAGTTCAAGATAAAGTTTGTTTTTGTAAGTTAATTGTATGCCTAGAATGGATATGTGTATAAGATTATATAATAATGTACGTATTATTTAGTAATTTTTTTTTCTTCTTAGCTGCAACAGAATGTGAAGGAAATAAATGTTCACAAGTTAAGGTACACATACATCATATTTCTTACAATTACTACTTTTAATTTACTTAACATATATCTGGTTTTTTTTTAGTTTTTTTTTTAGGGTAACATTTTTACATTAGATGTTCATCCTCATTTTTTAAACTACATGTACTCTCAGAACTTACATAGCTTGACACTCTTAAAGCCATAAGAAGTGAATGTGCAAAAGGTGATAAAAGAGAGATTTTATTTTGTGATTGCTTGATATGAAGCAGATTTAGAAGGAGATATGTTTCAGGCAAGGTTGTATTACATCTAGAAACTATAATAGAAAATTAATTTAACCACAGTTTGCAGATTTCAAGATGAAAAAAGATGAATTTGTGTTCATGTAAGAAATTGGCTGCATCCAAGAATATAAGATTTACTTGTAAGTGGGTGTTTTCTGACTTTGAAGGTACACTGTTGTATGTTCAAACCTATCCTTGTTTTATTCCTTCAAACCAGTGAGTTTTGTAGATAGTTCAAAAACAAATTTTTTTACCAAACCAGTTAAGTATCTCAATACACCAGTTTTAACTGCACAACTCACAACAACATTTAATCAGTGTTCACATCACTTAATGAGATATGTTTAACAACACAAATATTACAGTCATGCTTATCATGCTGAAAAATTCCCATGATGAAACCCTGCTTGAGGATGTGACACTTCACCAGTACCAGAGATAAAAAAAGTCAGTTACTTTCAAGCACCTCCAGAAAGGCTTAGAAAACCCCTGTGTCACATTATTGACCCAAGCCTTTCAAGGTCTTGTGCTCTGAGAACTCAGTTGACAGTTTTATGACACCTCTTATGTCAAACCCATGTACATGTTGAATCAAACTGCATTTTGTTTTATGCTATTGAAGGAAATCTCCAGAGAACAAGGAAACATTAACTGCCAGAATCATGAAGAGGAAAAGAAAACAAACTTTGGAAAATTTGGAAAAGCAATTACTAAGTAAGCATCAGTACATTAGCTCTTCCTTACTGTTTTCTCATTGGCTTTCTCTTGCACACAGATTTGTATTCTATTGTTAATTAGAGAAATAATTGGTGCAATATTGTCAAGGGCAGAATAAGCATATATCTTCATTGGTTTAAAAAACATTGTTTTGTGAAATCCTTTTTTTCTGTTGTTTTTTTGTTTTTTTGTTTTTTTTAATTGCATGTTTAAAATTTTACAGTGTATTAGAAAAACTTTAGGCTTGTACATTCAGTCAATTAGTTTTGTGTGATGGATAGCAAAATGCTCCATGAAAGAGTTCCTTTTCTTCCAAAGATTTTGATTGAACTATGATTTTTACTCACAACCGAGTGTCTCCTCCTAAAGTAACCTGTTATTTTATTGCAGGCTGCGTAGGACAAAATCCCTGGGAATGAACCCTGTTGACAGGCTGGCTGTTGTAGAACCTGTTGATCTGAAGAGTTACACTGGGTACAGTCACAACGATTATGGGTAAAGCGTGTGAACTCACTACTGTGTGTGCATCATAATATCAGTGTTTACAAATTATATTTTGGTTGCATAGTTGCCCTCATTTCTCAAATATGGTTAAGGGATTTTGCTATGAAAATTGAGCATAATGACAAGAGAGTTATTATTCTAGTTACTGTACAAGCTCTCAGTTTAATAGTAAAGTCAATGTTGAATTATTTTTATGCTTGTACATTTTAGCAAACATATTGCTTTTATCTGTGTTCACAAGGAACAATAATTGAGGGGTTTATATAATTAAGGGTAAATTTCTCACTAAGATTGTTGGAATTGAGGGTAGAGCTATTCCTTTACTTATCTGACCAAAATAATTTATTTGTTTTTGTATAAAATATTTTTTAAATTATGGTAAGAAATGAATATGATTCATGTCTCTAGTGACCAATTAGAACTTCCGTTCAGTCAGTGGAGCAGACAAATGGTGCTAAGTTGGCTTGACGACCTTGGCTTAGGACACTACTCTGCACAATGTGGAAGAGTGATAACATGTGGTCAGGACCTGCTTAAAGCATCACCAGCCCAGCTTGAGAAAGATATGGGATTGAAGAATCCACTCCATAGGAAGAAACTACAGTTAGCACTTCAGGTAGTTTGATTATCCTCTGGTTATTAGTAATATTTATATTAACAATATCCATGGTAATGGAACTGGTAATGATAATAGCATGCATAGAGAAATAGAGAAATAGAGAAAATAGTCTAATTTAAGAAGAATTCAATGACTTTTTTACTAGAAAAATCTAATCCATCAGAGATGAACTTCAGGAAAATGCAGTGAACCATTCAACACATTCTCAGAGTCTGCCTTTTGCTCATGAATTTAACTTGATGCGTGTGTCTTGCTCTACCGTCAAAAATACCATTCAGTCTCTTTCTACAAAAACTGGTTCCCTTGACCCACTTCCTACCTATATAATAAAGAATTATGTTGATCTTCTATCTCCTATGATAACCAACATAGTAAATCAGTCACTGTCGACAGGGAAGTTTCCTTCACCCTTGAAGTTGTCACATGTTCGTCCACGTCTGAAAAAGGACAATCTTGACAAGGAGATTTTTAAGAAATATCGTCCGGTGGCTAATATTCCCTTTCTTAGCAAAGTTATTGAGAAGGTAGCAGCAACACAAGTATACAACTATCTTCAATCTTACAACTTGCTACCCACTATGCAGTCTACGTATAGGAAACACCATTATACGGACACAACTTTGCTCTGTCTGACGAACGACATTCTGAGAACGATTGACAGCCGTCAAGATGTTGTATTACCTAGTCCTTCTTGATCTATTGGCGGCTTTTGACACCATTGACCATGCGATCCTGGTGGAAAGACTTGAATCCTACTTTGGTTTCTCACAACTGATGCTGAACTGGTTTAGATCATACCTTGAAAACCGTCGTCAATCAATAATTATTAGAGATAAAGTGTCCACTCCTCGTGCTCTTCGTTATGGTGTCCCACAAGGTTCCATACTTGGACCCCTACTTTTCACCCTGTATATTGCCCCTCTGCAAGATGTCATTGCTCGCCACGATCTCGACTCTTTGTTTTACGCCGATGACACTCAATTATATATTACTATTGATCCCGTAAATCAGGCCCGTCCATGACTGCCCTCCAAACCTGCATTGAGGACATAATGCGATGGAATACCCAAAATAATTTATGCTAAGAAGTAATGCTGAAGACTGAATTTTATTTTATTCACCTCCTGATTTACCAAGACACCCAACATTGAAAAGCTCTTTTTTGACAGTACCGTCATTGAACTAAGTGAGAAAGTCCGTGATCTTGGTGTTATTTTAGATAAAAATCTAACACTGACATACCACATTAATGAGACATGCAGGAAAGCCACTAATGCCATCAGATCCGTAGGGTGCATTCGTAAATACCTCACTAATGAAAACCTTAAACTACTAGCCATATAGTCAATGCTCTCATAATATCATGACTGGACTACCGTAACAGTATCCTCTATGGTTTATCGAAACAGGAACTCGACAAACTTCAGAGAGTTCAAAACACTGCAGCGTGTCTTATTACTGGATCTAAACAATATGATCACATCAAACCTGCTCTTCAAAAACTACACTGGCTTCCAGTTGAATCACGTATAATGTTTAAAGTTATTCTTATTACTTTTAAGATTCCCCATGGACTTTCTCCAGTCTATCTGTCGTCCCTGCTACAAGAATATCATCCACCACGTACTCTACGTTCATCTTCCATATCACTTCTTACTGTCCCCACTATGAATTCTGAGACATACGGTGAACGTGCATTCTCCTTCTGTGGACCTACATTATGGAACACTCTTCCTGATTCACTTAAATCTGCAGCTTCTCTTTCGTCTTTTAAATCTGCCCTTAAAACTTTCCTATTCTGGAAATTTTATTTTTAGTATTGTGAAACACTACATAGGTTTTTATCCCATTTAACTTTATTTTTGTTAGTGTAGGTACTACTGACTGTTAGCATCATTGTTATATTTTATTTTTATTATGCTATATAAGAGCATTGAGATTCTTAAATGCGCTCATAAAAACCGTACTATTATTATTATTATTATTATTATTATTATTATAATGATTTCTGTTAATATACCTGCGGCATGTACGCCATGCATATACATGTAGCAAGATTGAACAAAACTCTGTATCTTTTAAAGAAAAGTGTAAATGTCAAATTCATCAGGTGATTGATTCAAAGCACATGTTACATGTAATAATGTATCTGCATTTTGGGTTTTTTACTTTCATGTCCCCCTTTGTCCTCTTCAATCTTCATGTATTGAACTGATATCTGTGCTGGCTACTAGTAGACTTTGTTTTGTGTGTTTTATCTATTCAGGCATTAGTTTCAGATGCAGCTGATGTGATGGGAAGGCTGAGTAACCACTGGGTGCTAGGTACAGTATAACAAGTACATCAATGCAAACTAGGTATAAACTCAAATACCTTTACTAATGTTGCTTTTTCATTTTATAACTTAAACAACAGGGAGTAAGCTAGAAAGCATGATCATAATAGCCAGTCTGAGGACTTGAACACCTGTCAGTAATTTCAGACACTAACTACAACTTCTAATGGATAATGCCCTACAGAGACTGTAATTTTTAACTTAGGTAATGAAAACCAAATATTCACTCCAGAGCACTGTGACTGGTTGTCTGGTCCCGAATAACCTTTTTTTAATTGTGTTGTGGCAGGTTGGCTGGATGACATTGGCTTGCCACAGTATAAAGACTCCTTTAGTGAGGGTTCAGTTGATGGTCGTATGCTTAACTATCTCACCTTTGTAAGTAATGATATCCTGTTGAAGGTAGTATCATGTTAGCATTATGAAATGAAAACAGGAGACTTGTGATACCATTGAACTAATTTAAGTTAATTTGGCAAACATCCAGCAGACTGCCAGGATTTGAATGTGATGGTATGCTTTGGATATTAATATTTATTAAAAAGTGGATAATTGGGTAATGCAATTGAAGACTTTTTATGGGCTTAGCCATTATGGTACATGAGCCAATATACCATAATCTACAAATATGGTAAGCGTGCGCATCAGCTTACAATCAAAAGGGAGCTAAAAAATCCGGTTTCCTCTCACAAAATAACAATTTCTTGGGGGCGTTTTTGAAAAGACAGTTATTCCACTCGCGCTTGTTGGATGTGAGATGATTGTAGCCAACTCGGTGCTACGTGCCTCATTGGCTATCTATCATCTCATATGCTACGTGCGCTTGTGGAATAATTGTTAAATAATTATTATAAACAGATTGTATTGAGTAACTTTGTTGCAAAGGCTGTATTAGAGTACTTTGAATTAGGTTTTGTAGCAGAAGTCTTTTTTTTGCTATTCAGAGTGACTTGCTACACCTCAAAGTGCACAATACACTCCACCACATCACTTTGAAGAGAGCTATACAGTGCCTCAGGTGATAACTGTGTATTTGTTAATTCTATGAGTAACCTTGATCAGTACAGTGCCATAGGCACTAACTGACGTCTCCTTATTTTCCACTAATTATTAATGGCTGGGTCAGTTGTTAGTACTGTTTCTCATCATTCCTGGTTGACATGTGTATCACCTACTTTAAGGGTTTTCATGTTATTCTGATGGAAATTAACAGTTTTGTAGAATTACGATAAGGTGTTACCAAATTAATTTGAGTAATGGTGTCCAGACGTTTATAAATCAAACTTGTTCCAGCAAATTAGACAGATAAAAACAAAGAAAAAGACACACTGGAATCAACTGGATGCCATTGCATCAAATTATGATGGGTAGATCAAGTTTCCATCTATGGATAAGCAAGTACCATCCATTGACCTGTTGTTGATGAAAGCCACACTTGGTATAATCCTGTGTATTTATGTTTATGCTTGTCTTTACTCGCCCTCTCAGATCTAGTATCTCTCCATGCACCGTTTGTTCAGGTTTTTTTTTTAATTTTGAATACAACTAAATATTTTGAATACAACTATAGAGAGGGAAACAGTATGCGTTGAATACACACATTATGAATTAACAGGCCTTTCCAAATAAGAGTACGAGTTTAAAAAGTAGATTCACAGATCGGGTTCTTATTCAAGCATTTGTTCTGGGCGTGGTGATAAATTGAGAGACCAGTGACAATAGCCTATTTTTTTCTTTTTTTCCCTATTTATCTGTTTTTCTTCTATCTTGAAAAGTAAGACTATGTATACATATGATTGTATCTAAAGTATCAGTAACTCAAAAACAATAGTTGACTGTCAGTTATCCATCTTCCGTGTTATTTTGGAACAGATTACACAATTTCCATCCAAACTGTCTCAAGAGGCATCCTGTGGATGAGGTCAGTTCTGTACATTTCTAAACTTCAGCAGCTGTAGTATTCAATGTCATTATAGCATTAGGGTATCTTGTTTTCTTTTTTTTCGTAAATTGGTTTGTTTTTTGATGAACAATTTATTTTGTCCCAAAATAATTCTGTTTACTCTGAGTGTCAGCACTGTAACTACACTTAGTTTTATTTGCAAACTTTGTTACCAATGCCTCCTCTGGCTGTATTAATCAGTCATGGTTTAAAGGTGCCGATGTACTGTTATGGACCAACAGTCGAGTAACAGAATGGTTGCGCCTGGTGGATCTAGCAGAATATGCACCCAATCTGCGAGGAAGTGGTGTACATGGATCACTGATGGTAAAGATATACATTCTATGACTGATAGCGATATTCATTATAGTGATAATGATAATGATAATGATAATGATAATGATAATGATAATGATAATGATAAAATGTCATGATGCGCAAGCTGGTGGGAGGCAGAAGCACAGACGTACTGCGAAAGATGCCGAGGGCAGTGCTCTCGGGCACGTTGAATATTGCCCGGACTTTCAAGGTGGCAGTTTGAGTTCTTGTTAGAAGGAGGACAGTATACACAACGTAAGAGCTTTTTAGGATTAGTTAATGTACATTTATTTTTTACTCCATGGCTCACAGGTTACGGTTTTCGCCCTGTGTTGCTTGATTAGAATATAATGTAGCATTCAGTTGAATTCCCTGCGATGAAATACATATTTTAAATGGAGATTTCCTTTACTCTCAGTGGTTTTCAGGGAGGGCTTTGGAAGAATAAGCGAACCAAAACTCAACAAAAATTTAAGCACAATTTAGATAAAGCTGGCCCAAGACATATAAATAAGTTAATTGATATTTTTTTAAGTGCCTATTAAAAGCGTATTTAAGTTTCAATTTTAAACTTAAGCGTGGCAGAGGACTTTTTCAACTTTCTACGGTACTCTGGTCAACTTTGTAAACTTGGCTTTGATAGAATTCTGAGCATAATGAAAAATTGCCGTGGTTGACTCTTCTCCTGAAATTCTTGTACTTTTGCTTTGAATGTCGTGAGAAAGTAGTAACTGTTCTAATTTACTTTTGTGACTAGAATTTTGATCCATTTTTTGTTGACTGCCAAGACTTTCATGTGTAGTCTTGAGAGATGACTAGGTAGGTCAGAATTGTCAGCGGGCTTCCTCAAACATCTCAGTGTCGTGTTTAATGTACCTTGAATGAGAACTGTGTAACCCCAGGCAAAATTTCAACTAAGGGTTCGCTTGGTGTAAGTAAGGGGTATCGCCAAAATGTACACGGTTGTACCGAATACGAGGGCCCTCGAAAGCTTAAACCAAGACCTCAGACCCGAGAACGAAAACCCCTTTATCTTTTTTATTCAACATGATCATGTTACGGTTTCCGGCTGAAATTATCCAGCTCAGGTTTTGTTCTTTCATCTATATTCCCTTAATTCCGCTCATTTATTCCCATTGAACATTGAACGGTTTGGGAAATGTTTGATTCTTGTTTCCAAGAAACCATCACAAGATCAAGTCAAATAAAGAAAATAAAGGGTTCATATTTGGGTCTTCGTTAACGGGTCTTTGGTCTTTGCTTTCGGGGGTCTTTGTTTTCGCTACAACGATCTGTACACACCAGAATTTGCATTAATTGAAGAATCCAACAAATACGTTTCTATAACCGCAGTTTAGATATATGAATTTCATATATTCATTGTGTTTGATTTATCATCTTACGGGTTAATGTCGGACTAATTTGATGACCTTCTCCCAGTTGGCTTGTTAGCTCAATTGGTAGAGCGCTGCACTAGTATCGCAGAGGTCAGTGGTTCGAATCCCGTACAGGCCTGAATTTTTTCAGGTCTGATTTTCCCTATTGCTTAAGTAGTGTTCTTTACTGCGAGGATCGTGCACAAATACGTTCTATAACCGCAGTTCAGATATATTAATTTCATATATTCGTTGTGTAAGATTTATTTAGGTCACAATCTGGTACTCGATATCGTCAAACTATAAATAAATACAGACAAAATCTAATCTATACAAAGCGAAAAAGGTTGGACAATAATTGTAAAACTAACGTAAACCACCGACCAACAATCGAAGCGAAAAACAAGTAAGAATGATGAGATACAAAAATATACGCACTTACTGACCACCCCCTCTGTGCCTGGATGAAAAAAACTGAAAAGGCTTGAGAACAATGCAGAAAACATCGGAGATCCTAAAGACTACACAAATTAACAGTCACACCTTTTGCATCGACAGAGAACAAAAAAATGCTGGTATGCGAGGTTTAGTTATTTGATATACTGAAAAAGAAACTGAACAGTAATAATTAACTCGGACAACAGTTGCAAACTGATTCAAGTACTTGTAGTGTAGTAATGATCCATGCATCCGCTTTCTGTTGTGAGTTTCTAATTGGATGATTCATGATATTAACTGTTGTGGGTAAATCACCCTTATGACTATGCTGTCACTGATATAGATACTGGAGCCACGTTTTACTGCAGAGAGCGTGGCAGCATTGCTATCCATACCGAGCAGTAAAACACTTCTTCGGCGACACTTGGCTACTCATTTCCAGTCCCTTGTGGGGACTGCGTGTCATAGAGTGAAGGAAGAAGCAGCTGCTGACCCACTGTTTCCGCCTCTCATGCCAGGAATTAAGCATAAGGTAGTCACTGAATCGAGTGGGGTATTTTGTTTATATTATATTTGAATGGAGAGGTAGTATTGGAGATGGAATGCCTAGTACTACTTTTCAAGAGCTACATTATGTTTGTTTTTATTCCTCTGGTCCAATTTTGATATCAACCACTGCTACTGATCGCCTGTGAGTTTTACTCTCATTCATCTCACTGAATCCCCTGTACTGAAACGTTCTGAGATTGGGATATACAGGGTTGGTGGAATGAGGCAGCTGGTTAACTAATTTTTTTTTCTAAAGGTCTCAATTGTTTTGGGTGGAAATGGTTGGAGTAGACATTCCACCGGCACCTTGAGGCAGTTTTTACACTAAACAAGACTTTCATCACTTTGCTAGATCGTCCGAAGAACATCGTCATTTAGTGCTCTCCGAAAGCGTGGGAAGGGGAACGTGGAACTGGATGACTACGTATGTCCTATGGACTTAGAGGTTCCTCCAGCTTTGACGTCATATGTGGTACAGCGAAGTAGACGGTCAACTGAACGAAGTGATGAATGTGGCCCACGATCAAGAATAAAATATGATGAAGATAGCAACCTTCAGGTTTGTGATTTTTATCATTTATGTGTGTCATGATAATTAACACGCCACCACAAAAACTCTTACATCCCTGTAATGAAACGGTTGGAAAAAAAGTAAGAAAAGACACCTGAAGAAATGAATTTGTTTCGTGCATCCAGATTAACATGAATTATCGTATTATTTGTCTTTGATACTGACACTCACAAAAAGTTCCAAGGAAAAGACTAAATTGTGGATTGCCCACGAGGAACACTTTGTTCAAAGGAAACGGTTCTGTTGCGCTACGTTCCCATATAAAAACGTCTTTGAAGAGAATTGGATGCATGGCTCACAGCTTTGGTATTAATTAGTTGTTATTATTACTTTTTAGGGAGATGACCACGTGACAGGGACAATAGGAGCTTTCTCTCAGGAGCTTGATTCACTTACAGTAAGCTATTGACACTTTCCCTCGAGACAAAAAAAGGAGTTCTATGTCATCTTCTTGAGTTTATAAACAGATTAATCTGCTCCAATTTTTTTTCTTTGAATGGTACCTGATTTTATACATACGTAGGATGCACGCTCCTCGCAGTAGAGAGCGCTATTTATGCAATAGCGAAAATCAGACCTGAAAAAAATCAGGCCTGTACGGGATTCGAACCACTGACCTCTGCGATACTAGTGCAGCGCTCTACCAATTGAGCTAACAAGCCAACTGGGAGCAGGCCGTTGTTGATTCATCTTTCAGTGGCCAGTCAAGGCATAACACTTGTTCATCCTCAATTGTGCAGGTCTTAATCTAAGTTATCTTTTTACAGCATATGTTGAAAGAGGAAAGGCACAATACAGATGATGGTACTTATGAAGTATAACAGAGTGGTGTATAGTAACTCATCGTTGACTTTAAGATATTCGGCTTTTAGGTTGTAAATCATAGTAATTAGCAAGAAGTATTTCATATGTGTAAAGGAGAATAAATGTTCCACTTTTATTGTTGACATAAATATTTTTTTTAAAGAATTTGAAGCTATTTACTATGATTTTCTAAATGCATAGACGTATTTGGAATTCCAAACATGTTTCAAACACCAATCTATTCAGTGGCACACCTCAAGTCTCCAGTACGGATTGTTAGAAGTAGGGAGGAATTCAGAACTGCCTCAATATCGTTTTGTTTTACTGTCTTTATCTAGGCGACATGCATTTTGCTCACAGCTGTTGCCCTACCGTCCAAGATACCCTCCTTTCTCCTCGCTTGAGTTCACTTCATTTTGCTTATATGTCTTATATTGCAGCTCAGTTACTTTGAGATAATCCTATTTAATTTCACTGTGCTGTTTGCATACTTGCATATTTTAACTATTTGTTTGCAATCGTTTCATCCATTTAGGTAGATTTAATGATAATTAGTGGAACTGAAACTGCTCCGAGACCTTCCGTTCAAGCTAGAAACCAAATGAAATTGAAGTTTTCTACCCACTCCGCCTCTAAAATCTGTTAGTTTTGAATGTGAAACAGACATACCGTATTCGAGAAACTCTCAAGACGTTGTAACCGATATACCCCTATCTTTGTCGGGTTGATGTAATAAGCAAACAAAAGAATTGAATGTCTCACTGCTAGAACTAGATCTATCATTTTTTAAGTACGTACCATATAAGAATTTTAAATACTCCTTTTATTAGAGTCTAGCTTCGAACTAGAAGATAAAATACTGTAATTTCGTTTTTAGTGTCGATGTAACACAACAATCGTTGTAATGCTTGAGTGAAATGCGCATTGGATAGTTTGGTCATAAGAAGCCATAACTGTTTTAACGATTTGCAGTTAACTTGACTTTTATGTCCTAGAATTCCGTTTGGTTAAAGAATCAGATTTACTTCTATAACAAGTTTTACTGAATTAAATGACTTAATTATAGCTTTCCTATTTTTATAATAAACGTGGTTGTTTCGTTAAGTTGTCTTTGACTTGTTCATGTTTTTGCTAATCTCTTTGTTTGTTTTGCTTTAACGTACTTTTGTTTTGGTCCTGTCAGTCCTTGAGGAACACTGACTTACTTGAAAATTGGATCCATCGGAAATCTTATTTGACTTAATCCATGTGAACGTTTTCAGACACTCCCGCTCAGGCTGTGGGCTCTGTTTGGAACGTGCACTTTCTTTTTTCTAGTCATGAGATCTCAGTCCTTTTCGGCGACGACCTTGACTGAGACAACCCTCGAAGGGTTCATATCACCCATAAGGGAATCTCATCACAATTTTAATGAAATATATTTCATTTGACTCGCAGATGAACGGCAGCCCAAGCGCTCTCCTCTTGGTAGTAACACTTAGCAAGTATCTGGGAATAAGGAGTTCAAATCCCATCGAAGCCTGAACTTTTTCAGGCTTCTATTCCTCAATAGCTTAAATTACGATCTACCTGTGAGGATCATCTCTTTACTTGTTAACGAAAAACTGTCAATTCATTCAAAATAGGCAGGTCAATTTCCCATTTCTGTCAGTGACACTGGCAGAGACAGTTATGTGACAGTGAAAGGTATAGTGACAGTGACAGGGAGAACGAAGTGACAGTGATATTGACAGTGACAGAGATGGAGAAAGTGACTCTCAAGTTGAAAATGGAAGAGAGAGTGACAGTATTAAAGACTCAGTCCGAGACAGTACAGTGACAGTCAAAGGATGGTGACCAAAACAATGACAGCGAGGGAAAACAAGCGGATAGTAACCTTTCGCAGGTTAAGGTCATAAGTTTGGTTAACCAATCATTGGCAAACGCTTTTTTCGACTAAGATGTTGGTGGTCTCATTTAAAGGAACGTTAGTAAAGAGGGCTGTGACATCATAAGAGACCAATATGTCGTCTTCGCCGATAGATAAAGTAGTTCGCAGAAGAAGCGTTTAGCGATTGTAGAGGACGGATCGTGGAGCGATTTCTCGGCACGTTTAAGTCTATAATAGATAGCTAGAAGTCTAAGCTTGAGTACCATGTCATATGGATAAATGGATTTATAGCACGGACAGAAAAGTGAAAATTAAGAGTGGGTTTACTTATCCCATTTTGAAGTAAAAGAGAAATTGACGTTGATTCTCAGCTCGGCAGTGAAGACGACAGTGAAAATTTGATGGAGAGTCACGGAGGCAGAGACCCGGACAGTAATAGGGACAATGCCAATCATGGTGACAAGAAAGTGATATTGACAATGGAGAGATTTAACACTGTGTTTACGTGAAACGTGAACGGCTAGAGTGACCACGTGACCTCGTTTCCCGCCTTTTTTTCACGTTTGCCGGTTGCGCTTGGCCGTTTCTGCTTGAAAGTAACCTGTGTGGCGTTTGCTGTGTACATAAGATTTTCTTTACTTTTTCTCTCACAAAGTAGAAGTTGGTTTGCAGGAAAAGGGCACTAAAACTATTCTAAGGGCGCCTTCAAATCCACCAAGACGTGAGCTCACGAGAAGCTTACGTCATGCGTAATCTCCCTAACGTACTTCCCTAATGACAGAAAAAGGGAGCGCAAAAGAGAGTGGGACTGTTACTGTGGCTGTGACAGTAAGACTGTCAAAATGAACTAATAATGACATCGATGGAGACAGTGTCATTGACCGTGACAGTGACCAATTATATTGCCGTGACAGAGACAATTATATTGCCTGTTTCTCTGAGATTGATAGTAACTGTGATAATTTCAGTAACCGTGATAGAGGGAGAGACATATACAATGAAATTGAAAGTTACTTTGACTGCGACATCAATATTAACATTGAAAGAGATAGTGATTGTGTCAGTGACTTTGACCGAGACAGATACAGAGAGAAACAATGACACCGAGAGAGACAGTGGTAATGACGGTAACGAGACAGAAAAGACAATGAGAGACCTTTGCAGAAACAGAGTAACCACGACAGCCACAGCGGGAGAAAATGCCAGTGACTGTGTGAGGGGCAGAAACAGACAGTTTTAGTGAGAAGGAGAGTGACAGTGACATAGCTGGTGGCAGTGTTGTAGCAGTGAAATAGGTAACGTCATGAGGGCTTAATCCCAGGCAATTCTCTCAAAATAGAAAAGGATTTTCAACCACAAGCTTTTCAGAGCTTGGCACACCAGTGAATATGTTTTTGCAGTACGCAATGCAGGTTTAGGTGAGTTGCATAAACGAAACAAGGCTAGAAGTCCTTCATAAGATGGTTAATTGTCAAATTTTTTTATCATAACTTAAAAATTGGGTCAGAAGTTTAAGATGCAGATCGTGCACTATGAAAAGCAGACAGATTGGTCTACTTCACCTAATTGGGTGTTTAAAACATTTGACCTCGAAAAGAAACAAATAAACAGAGAAAACAAACCTGATTGCAAAAAACAGGCTGTGTGACTTTCCGTGCAAAGGAATCATACTTGCTAACTGGTCCACATCATTCAGCCGAGAAGATAAATTTGCATTACTACTTTAATTCCACTTTACGACGGAATTGTCGAAATTTAAATCATACATACATACATACATACATACATACATACACGTTTATTGACCACTTCCCCAAAGGACATTGTAAAAGGGTAACTCCATATGCCGTTCACAAGACTAAATAGGTTTTTTTCCCGGAGATTACACTAATTTTAAAAAAGCTGAGTATCCGTGGGTGGCTCATCAGCTTGATTAAGTCTGATGTAAGCGGTATTAATGTAAACATAAAATGTCCTTATTATCACATCAATGATATGATGGAAAACATGGTGGTATACACGTGAACTCAACGTTCTTGAGTTTCAGACAATATTCTACTCTCTAATTCGAAGAATGCCGTTTATACCACCCAAATTTAAAAATTCACGTTCTCTCGTCTCCATGTACTATCCTCTCAAACGAGCAATCTATGCAAAGGAAGGCTCTACCTTTCTACATGTGGTTAAAAAAAGTTAAGGTTTCATTATAAAATATGTTAACGTGGTTACAATAACACAACAGTGTATAGTTTCAGTATTAAATATGCTAACGCTAGCATATTAGTAAATACATATTGATTTCTATTGTATGGTTGTACAGTATTTATCCTCAATAGATACGACTATGGAAGTTCCTCTTTACAAGGGAACGTTCATCATCATAGAAAGTTAACAAAAACTAATTGAAATTTCTTACAAAACCTCTAAAAGGAACGTCTCTGTATGCTAAGACGCGAAACATGTTCAAACATAAACTTTTACTTCTGTTGCAAGAACGTTCATCACCACAGAATTCCGGAGAGTACGCTACCAAATTCATCGAATATTGATGGTTCCCTCGCACTTGTTTGGCCACTTGTCAACTGAAACTTTTATGCTTAATTAAAAAAAAAAACTATATACGCATATAAATATATATTTATGATGATAAATAAAGACTCCTGGCTACAACCTTCTAAGGCCTGATTGTTGTCGAAAACAAACAAACAAAAAAGCCTATATAAAATAATTTTCCAAACGCTCACGTCGCGGATGGAGCAAAATATACGAACATATCAGAAAAACAAAGAAAAAATGTAATTAGATGAGGGAAAATGGGTTTTTTTTTTAAACCGTTTGAAAAAATTAAGCATTGGTAATACTAGAAGAATTCCATGTCTGGTCACCAAACCAGCCTGAAAAAATAACTTTATGATACCTAAATAATAATGTAACGAATGAATTCTTTCATTACACTGTGATGCACCCATGGTGTGTAAGAGAACATTAGCTCTACATCTGAAGGAAAGGAACACTTTTCTTTCCATTACAGAGATGTACATGAAAACAAATTTGACTTAAATCGGGTCAATCAAACTGCTCACACTTCACAAAGCTAATTATTTGTGTTCTGCATTTGCGCCGTAACAAGACTGTAATAAACTCCTTTCTGGTTTAACAGTTCTTGATGAGTGCCTTGCTCTGCTACGCGCCCGTGATGAATCACTGCTATGATGTCAGCGTTCTGCACAGTGGACAGTCGATGTGCAATGATGATAGCTGTGCGACCCTCACTAGCGGCATCCAGAGCTTGCTGGACAACCTATAGAGTACCAAACAAAAATTAATACTTTAAAGGCAGTCAGTTACGTCAAACACTACATGATGACAAAGACAAACATGTTCTTGTGCCCTTTCTTTTCTACTAACTGTAAGGGAGTCACATTAGAACGTGTCCTAAGAAAGCTCCGTCACTTTCACACATCAAAAGTACTTCGAATTCTCCTCTTTAAAAAATGACTTCATAGCAAAAGACATTGAAATCGAAAATTTCTTTAAACCCTTTCTGATAGATTGTCAAATTGATTAAACACACGAGCACTAGCTCAAAACTGAAAGATACATGATGTGTTCAGTTCCCTGACCTTCTCACTCTCTGTGTCCAGGGCAGAGGTAGCTTCGTCAAGAAGCAAAATATGTGGATTGCGGATCAACGCCCTTGCAATAGCTATTCTTTGCTTCTGCCCTCCTGAGATAAGAGTTCCTTTGTCTCCCACCAAAGTATTATAACCCTACATAAGACAAAACACGATTGTGGTGATTTGATGTGAAGTAAAAACGTCTGGGTCAAGCGACTAACTTTGCTGAAGCTGAGGACGGGTTTTGTGGTACGGGGCCACCAGGAGTATTTATTCTCCCTATGGATAGAATGCTTATACATCATATTATAATAATAATAATAATAATAATAATAATAATAATAATAATAATAATAATAACAATAACAATAATAACAATAATAATAATAATAATAATAACAATAATAATAATAATAATAATAATAATGATAATAATAATATTATAGCGCCTATCCAATGATAGATCTAGGCGCTTAACAAAGTGAGAGAAAATATAAAATTAAAGTTAATCAAGTTAATAAACTTAAAATTGAAGTAAAAATATATGAAGTCTATTTCCTAATGGCTAAAGTAGAAGTTTCCCCATCAAGTAAGTAAACTTAAAATTGAAGTAAAAACATATAAAGACTATTTCCTAATGGCTGAAGTAAAAGTTTCCCCATCAAGTAAATAAACTTAAAATTGAAGCAAAAACATATAAAGTCTATTTCCTAATGGCTAAAGTAAAAGTTTCCCCATCACTTTTTGTCAGGTTTCCCTCACGATTCACCAATCATCTACGTGGTTGACGAGAGGCACTTTCCTTGGAGCAAAACGCACTGACCTCTGCCTACAAGTAGTTTAAACCTGGAAAGATGTCAAAAGTATTTACAAAAATATTCACCGCACTTCAACCTCAACCAACATAGAGATAACTTTCCGGGTTTTACTTGGCTTCTTATTTATAGGTTAATTGGTAAATTGCCATACCATGGGGAGAGAATTAATGAAACTGTGTATATTGGCTGATTTGGCCGCGGCTTCTATTTCATCCTGGCTGACTTGACGAGAGTTGTCACCATACGCGATATTATCAGCGATACTGCAGCCAAACAATATGGGCTCCTGTGACACGATACCAATATGAGAGCGCAGCCACTGAATGTTCAGAGTTCGGACATTGTTACCGTCGATGGCCTGTAAATAGGAACATCGGTTATAAAATGACTCAGCACTGTACATTAATTTTATTCGCTCCTCATCAATACTAGGCTCTAGCATTTGTACTGTTCCTCTAATCCAATACTACGCCGATGCACGCATTCACACTAAACATTACCCAAAGTCTCTACAACTGTCTTAAGATTTCACAAAGTATAACGCTTGTACACAATGGTACATGCAGGCCAAACCAAACTTTCGAGTCGCCTAAACCAATGATCAAGTTTCTACTAATTTATTTGTACTGAGGGATCTGTGATGAACTTGAAACTTACCACTTCTCCGTCCTCAGCATCGTAAAATCTCTCCAAGAGAGAAACAATTGTACTTTTACCGCAGCCACTCGAGCCAACAAGGGCAAGTTTCTGTCCTTTCTGAACTGACAGTGTTAATCCGCGCAGTACTTTGACATTTTGTCGAGTTGGATAACGGAAACGTACGCTCCTTAACTGGATTGTTCCCGTCATAGAATTCTGTCAAAAGATGATGAAAAACATTGAAATGCAGTCCCAATGAGTTAGAAAACCTGTACGTTGTAGAAAGAAAAGAGAAAGGATCGTCGAATCATTGAATCCGATTTAAAAACTACACCCAACATACTCATTTCACCTGAATGGTGCCACATTTTAGTTCGTTTAGAGGCTTCGGTTCTCTACAGTTTACAAGAGTTTTTCATTTCGTTATAAGCCCGTTTCCAAACTCTGTAGCTAAGTTAACTAACCGGTGTCAAACCATCTTGAGATGAACTGTCCACGAGAGATTTGCGATCAAATAGTTTGAAGAGACGAGCAGCAGCAATCTTGGCTTTCTCATAGTCTGGAGACAAAGCGCTGACTTGACCCAGCATAAATCCACCCATCAAGATGGACAGTACCACCCTACCAACAAAAAACACAAACAGATCAGGCATTAGTTAATGTAGCAGTGGTGAAAAACCTGCTTTTCCAATCTCTAAAGTACACTTGATTTCTTATGACCCCTGGTTGTCACCTAAATATCCTTTATAATTTTGTCCAAATGACCCACGCTTGATAAGTTTGGTTGCAACCCTGGAAAACTTGCTCCAATCCTGCAAGACTTGCTCCGGACTTTGGTAACATCAATTGCTGTTTTTGCGAAGTTCTGTCTCACAAACTAACAAAACACTATCCGATAAGGCCTTTACTTAGTTAAATAAGCAAACGCTAAACAAAACAAGGTCCAACGACAAGTAAATATCACCATTGACTTTTCCTGACTCAACGCTTAAAGTTTAACAGCTAATCTCTACTTGATGTATTAGAGCCAGTCTTTCTACACGTGTCCATTGTGTATTTAAAGTGCTACTGCGACGAAATTTTTGCATTTCATTTTCCCAATTTTCTGGTGTTAACTTCACATTTAGACCCTAAACTATAAGAATAAGCGTAAGTTTCTCAAATTTGACATTATTCCTTAAAAACAGCGCCGCGAAGACATAAAAAATTCTTCCGCCATTGCTCGAATAACACACTGGAGAGCCCGCGAAAATAACTACAGCGGTTTTAGTTGTGACGTCATCGACTCACTTCGCCACGCGAACAACAACAAAACAACAGAGGGAAACACGCAAAAGAAAGCTGGGGAACAATTCTTTCGAATTTTGTTCCTTCTTTCCTGCGGAACCAGAAAAACAACTCTCTCTCGGCATACCAAATTAGCCACGTTTGTTGAGTCGTTGACGTCACTTCCGTTCTCGACCCAGTTTTTTCTTCTTCACGCGGAGTTCTGTAGTTCGAAGAATGGCGACCGTTTAGATCGCGAATCTACAGGGAAAATAATATTACTTCTCGATGGAGTTTTGCCTTCAGATTTGGCAAATTTGTTACTTCGGGTAAGTACTTTCAACCTCTGAGGAGAAAAGAAAAGGTGCATTTTTGGTCGCAGTAGCACTTCAAAGTAATCACCAGATTGTATTCCATGCCAAGCTGTAAAAGAACGATACTCACTTCATAACTTCATCCATGTCCATCTCTCCTTTTACCACAAGGTACCCTCCATATCTGAAAGCTACTGCATTGGCGAAGAACATGAACGCCTCTGATAAACCAAACGAGGCCCCTTGCAAGTGTGCCCGTTTCATTGCCTTTCTACAAGCCGGGAGGAAGTTACAAGTGTAAGGTAACTGTCAGTAAAGGGGTAATAAGAACCAAACAAGAACACAAGATAAAGATGTAGCATTATGATTAAAAAATGGTTCACTCTTTTTCAGTGAGGAACACGAAATAAATTTCGTTGCTCTCTTTTCTCTCACCCCTTTGTAGTCAGCAAATGCGGAAGTTTTCCAGAGCTAAAGATGTATTATGTTTCCCTGGCTTGTCACCAGTTAGATGCAACACTATCAGCGGTTTTCAAGAAAAATCAATCCAAAATATACACTTACTGTTTGAGCCTAGTTATCACTTACTTGAATGGGCCTACCAAAGCTCGACTATAATCGTTATAGAAAGTGGTTTCCCTGCCCAAAGAAGCCACAGTTCTAATATTTTCTATTGTTTCAACAGCAATCTATGAAGAACAAATGACGTGCAGCCAGAGTTAAAACAACTTCATTCCGAGACCATGTTTTAAGATAATATTCACTGCTACCGTAATAATTTGGATTTGACCGTTCTGAACCAGTCAGTCATCGTCGTGGCCTATTTGCAAGTTTTCCAATAGTGCACTTCAATAGCTAATTCAAAAGAGTGTAAAACACTCTCTGTAAGGGATGAAATACTTCCAAAACTTTTTGTACGTTTTTCAGATGCTTTGTACATACATGTCTTTCACCTGGCAAATTTCACAGGCAGTTCAAAATTTAATGGGAAACCCAGAGGAAGACTGTGCTGACGTTACCATGACAACCACTTAGTAAACGCACCTATATGTTCCTTAAAAGGTAATCAAGATCTCACCTTGCCAGATTGAGCAAACTCATCTTCGCCATCATCAGAAACTTTACCTCCGACAAACACGCGCATCTGAATTGTACTGGCAACCACCAGTATTGGGATGAACGCTAGAACAACGAGTGTTAACTTCCACCCATTAACAAAAGCGTACACTAGGCAGGCAATAGCCGTACTCAAAGCCATCGCAACAGTGCCGAGCCGAGAACCTGCGGCCTGAAATCATATTGTATACGACACATTTAAAGGGCTCAACACTCAGTACCTTATTGCACAAACTGAAAGATCTCATTTTAAAACGCTGGAAATTGGTTGAGTTCTGACAATTCTTTGCAAAGCTACCAAAACTTGAGATCATAGTTACGTCTTAACGAGAATTGATTTCCTTTATCTCATTGTGCCCAATAGGATGGGATAGAGTGAGTTTACATAAAGAACCACGTCTAAAAATATTTGCTTCACCTGACGTCATTTAAAGTTAGAAAGCAAGAAGTAAGTCTGCAATGTCATAGTGATGAGAAGACAAATCAGCCACGCACAAGAGAAAAACAGTTTATAATCTCTTGCCATGCATGCATACGCCTTATCTCCAATGTCACTGGTCATAACTGAAAGCCTATAGAACACAACCATTTCCGCAAATAGTTCAAGGCCCAGTTGTTCAAAGGGCGGATAATGCTATCCAACAGATAAATCGCAATCCAGCGGTTGAGCGTTAACAAAATGCACTGCCGGAAATAGATTTATAGTTATCCAGCCTTAGAACAACCGGAGCCTGGTGTTCATAGTTTTCCGAGTTTATTAATGAATTATTACAAGGATGCACCCAATATGAGATGATAAAAAACCATGCAGGTGCGTAACGCCAAGTTGGTTATAATAATCTCATACTCGGCAGGCCTGGGTAACAGACTCGATTTGGTCAAAATGCACACGAAAATGTGTAGCAACTAGCCTTTGTCTGGTTGAAAAAGACCGGAAGACAAAAGCAACAACGAGCTTTCGCTAGACGCAAATGTTATCGCATCATGTAAACAAACCATGTAACCTTAAATATTTTCATACCGAATTTAGTTATTGTTTTGCACACATAGGATTAAAATTTTCTTTTAGTTCTGTTGTTTGTTGAGTTAAAAGCTCGGCAAACACATGCCACTAACTATGTTCACAGCTCACTCACAGAAGTAAGTTAACACATCACTGACGAATTCAATGACAATACTTGTCGGAGCTAGGTTATGACCTCAGAGCTGGATTGCAAGCTTATAGCTTGGCTCCGTTCAGCCAGTCAGAAGGTTAGAAATTGAACAACTGTGCTCAAGATTTTATTTAATACTGTTATGCAGGGTACGTCTCTACAAGAACCTGGTTCAATCTTTACCGATCATATAATTATTTTCAAATTAAAAAGACCATTAAACCCCCCCCCCCCCTTTCCGGTTAGGCCAGTTAACACCAGTTATGTGATAATATCGAGAAAAAAAAAAAGAAAAAAACAAAATAGATGCATATTTACCCCTTTAACAGCTGAGGCATGTGTTCCCAATGCTGTGGTCAGTGCCCCAGTACTATGCAGTGGATCATCAAAGTACGACATATCCTGTTGAACAATAACAAGACCGATAAGTGAACTAAGGAGTGAACTTTAATCGGAGACAGAAGTTACATTAAAACCATCAAACAATATCCAATATAAGGTAGTCTTTGACTGCATGTACCTACTGTTGTATAGTTTTGGAGTATTGCAGTAAAAAAGCAAGGTGGTGTAAAGTGCAGACGGTTTAATGAACAGCTTTCGTCTACGCCAAACTTGTGACGAAAGGAGGACTTGGTTAGAGAAGGGTTTCCACACTGGTCTATTGAATGACGGGGAACAGGGAAGGTACATGTCTTAATGTGTATCAAATTTACTTCAATACAAAACTTCGTCAATTCGTACGCTCTGCGTACCTGGCGCTGTGGATATACCTTAAACCTCTCTCTGTTGTGATTACGAGTGTATCACGATAGCTCGCCATTTTAAAA